GCACACACACACACACACACACACACACACACACACACAGCAGTTCTGTAGACCAGAGTCAGTGCAGCACCTCGGATCGGTTTGACCTCCCCGTCGCTTCCTCCAGGCACCGTTCGAGTGTGGCACTCCAACACCTACCGACTAGAAAACACACTCAACTATGGCATGGAGCGGGTGTGGTGTATCAGCGGCCAGCCGGGCTCCAACAGCGTGGCTCTGGGCTACGACGAAGGCAGCATCATCATCAAGGTGTGTCAGCGTTCCCTCCGGCGGCATTTTAAATTTAGAGGATTATCTGTATTATTTATGGAGTGTTCAGAAAACCACAGTTTCTCGTTTTATTTATAATTTGAGTGACCTGAGGAGGACGATGGGAGGCACTCGTCTTTTTATTTTGTTCCCATTTTGAGAGAAAACATCAACACGTTGCACAGTTTGTCTTCACACCAGCTCTGTGTTCTGGGCTTAATGAATTGACTCTTGCTCTCCTGTCGATGGGGCCCCAAAAGACTGCAGCTGGGAGGAAATTGAACATCAAGATTCAATTTTAACCTGTAAATAACACAGTGGATTATAAAAACCCACTAATCCCCCGAGAAAATAGAGGACGTGACCTCTCTATCCTCCTCCGCAGCAGCTGTGGGCGGCTCTAGAACATGCTGTCAGGTGGAGTTAAATGATGCAGCAGCTCGCGTTGTGGAAGCCTGAAGAAGTCTTGTTGACCTGTTATATTAACGACCATTTCTGCATCCACTCATACCCGTTTCTCCGTCCCTCTCCGTCCCAGCTGGGTCGGGAGGAGCCGGCCATGTCCATGGACTCCAGCGGGAAGGTCATGTGGGCTCGTCACTCCGAGGTGCAGCAGGCCAACCTGAAGGCGCTGGGAGACACCGAGATAAAGGACGGAGAGAGGCTCCCACTGGGCGTCAAAGACATGGGCAGCTGTGAGATTTACCCCCAGACCATCCAACACAGCCCCAACGGGAGGTGAGCAACTGTGATGAGAGGTTGTGGGTAAACCTGAGGTGAACACAGTTGTAGACTTGTTTCTTTTTCCTACCTAAATATGCCAGTTGGTGCCAAATCCTCAGTTATAGTATAAATATTTAATAAGGCAATAAGAAGAATTCAGATCCTTTAAGAAAAAGTACTAATGCAGTAATGTCAGAATACTCCATTAAAGTCCTGCATTAAAAATTCTACTCACATAAGTCACGTATTAGCAGCAAAATGTAGTTAAATTATGAAAGTGAAAGTAGCGCTTTGGTCCCTCTGCTGATATATGATGGCATAACTCGATTATTAATGGTGGAGCATCAGCAGCATGTTACCGCTGCAGCTTTCAGCTACTTTCTGTACAGTTTGATAAACAGAGACACAAGATAAATCTGAGGGCTTCCCACATGATTAATGGGAGAGGAAAGAATTTTGTTCAAGTCTTTGATTTTTGCTGCGATAGTGGATCATTGAACATTTATTGAGATAAAGTTAAGCGCTTAAAGCCGTCAGATGAGTGTAGTGGAGTAGAAAGTCCAACATTTCCCTCTGAAATGGAAGCATCAAGTGTTAAATGAAAATGTTCAAATACAATGCAAGCACATGGAAACTATTTAAGTGCAGTACTTGAGTAAATGGACATTTACGTTTTATTTGTATTAACTTGTACACAGCACATGTTAACAGCCTGTGTGCAGTAGAATAGTGGCTACATGCATGTTTACTTATTCTTTAGGATTAACATTAAGTATAGTATCCTTGTTGGAATTTAAAAAACATAATTTGACATCATCGTATGTATGTAATTTGTGTCCTGGCAGGTTTGTGGTGGTGTGTGGAGACGGAGAGTACATCATCTACACCGCCATGGCCCTGAGGAACAAGAGCTTCGGCTCGGCTCTGGAGTTCATCTGGGCGCACGACTCCTCGCAGTACGTCTGCAGAGCAACACTTCAGCATCACTCTCACGTCTGAATGCTAAATATGAGGGCGATTAGCTTAGCTTAGCATAGAGGCTGGAGGTAACAGCTAGCCCGGTAGCACCAACACTTATTAACTAACTCATTGTTAGTCAGAGCAGTAACGGTAAAGTTACAGGTTGGCTGGGAGTACAGCAAAGAAACTGGAGAGAGCCAGGCTGGATGTTTATATCGGCCTTCAAATTTAAAGTACGCTACTGTTGGTTAACTGCCGTTTAACACAACAACAGACTGTGTATAAAAGATAGATGTAGCCACACAGATGTCAAGTTTAGAATGTCACGGTCGCCATCTTGCTCTTCTGAAACCAGACGTAGCAGCAAAAGGTGGATCTGACTGAGAACTAGAGGACACTTTGCACACTGAGGTGGTAGCGACCTGTCAGTCGGCCGCTTTCCACTTCAGGAACTCGAGGCCAGTGAGAGATTGTCCATTAAAACCCGCCAGCAGTGGGAAACAGCCATCATGAGGCAGCCCCACCATAGAACATCCTCTCCTTCATCATCGATTTTCCTCTAAACTGAACCATGATTAACAAAGTGAGCATCACACTGTTTTCAAAAAGCCTTTTAGACCATGAGCTCATTAAGAGGTCAATTTTCTCAGAGACATCTATACAATTAAACTTTTTTTTTTTTTGCCACTAGAAGTGTCGCCCCCTGCTGACCATTAGAAATAGTTTTCATACTTCATCCATTTACATGTGTCCAGTCTATGACATGGACAGTAGGTGCACGGGCAAATCAGTGTTTCTCAAAATGCCAAACTGCTCCTTTGCTTCTAATAAAGGTGCACATTATATTTCTAGGTACGCCACCAGAGAAGGCAACAACATGGTCAAGATATTTAAGAACTTTAAGGAGAAGAAGACTTTTAAACCTGACTCCGGGGCTGAAGGTGAGTTTCATTTTCCATTTTCTCATTTGACATGGCAGGTTTTTGTGTAGCTTTGTGCCTCCAGTTGTGTGTAACTGTGTCGTGCTGCTCCACAGGTATCTTTGGTGGTTTCTTACTGGGAGTGAGGTCCAACAGCGGGCTGGCCTTCTACGACTGGGAGAGCGCCGAACTCATCCGCCGTATTGAGATCCAGCCTAAATATGTGAGCTGCAGTCTGGTGAAGTTCCCTCCAGTCCGTTTATTGCATTGGCCTTCTAATGACTCCTCGTGTTCGTGTTTCTAGATCTTCTGGTCTGACTCCGGGGAGCTGGTGTGCATCGCTACAGACGAGTCTTTCTTTGTGCTGCGCTACCTACCAGAGCGAGTGGCAGCAGCCCAGGAGTCCAAGGCAGAGATGACAGAAGATGGCATAGAGGACGCGTTCGAGGTCAGAGACCAGCATAATATATATATAACTATGCAGTAACTGGTCTATTTAAGTGCAAATTTCACCTTCTGGAAGCTGCAGATACCGTGGAGAGGAACTGTCAGCTGTATTTTATCTGTTTCATGTCCGTCCTTCTCCTTCCTGCTGACCAGGTGTTGGGGGAGGTCCAGGAGGTGGTAAAGACTGGAGTTTGGGTGGGAGACTGCTTCATCTACACCAGCTCTGTAAACAGACTCAACTACTATGTTGGAGGGGAGATCATCACCATCGCTCACATGGACAGGTACAATAAATGGACATTGATAAGCAAGCCCCTCTTAGTTTATTCTTTGTTAATTTCCTGACATTTAGAGACAATCTGCTGTCAGACGCTGTGTTCTGTGCTATCGTTCTTTCACCTGCTATGGATTTCTTTAAAATCAAAAAAGTTTCCAAAGTGCATTAAAAGCCTTTCTCTGGTGTAGGACCATGTATCTGCTGGGCTACATCCCAAAGGACGACCGTCTCTACCTCGGGGACAAGGAGCTGAACGTCATCAGCTTCTCCCTGCTGCTCTCTGTGCTGGAGTACCAGACAGCTGTCATGAGGAAGGATTTCAGTACAGCTGACAAGGTTCTTCCCACGATCCCCAAGGAGCAGAGGACCAGGGTGGCCCTCTTCTTGGAGAAACAGGTACGCATGTCCTCCAACATTTGCCCTTGGAAGTCCACCTTGCTGTTTTTCTTTCTGCTTGAACTGACTACAGAATCAGGGTTTGGATGAATGCATAATTTGCACAACATCAGGCGGCCAGATGGAGCAATACCTCTGGGCAGAGTTTCTGTATTTTTAAAATACATTTATTTCAGGAGGTTCTGCTTCTCACGCAACCTCACTGCTCCACCCGTAGATTCACTGTGCTCCACCTGAACCGGCGACACAGGACAATGTGTGGAGTGACAAAGTGCTGTAACTGTGTGTG